GCGCGGGGCCCGGGCGCCGGCGGCCTTGACCTCCAGCCGGTCGGAGCAGGCGCAGGCCCAACCTCAGGGCCACCCCAGCGCGTTCCAGCGCCCCGGGTACAGGAGCCCTACGCAGGCTGAGCTCCACGCTGCAGGAGGCCCACTGCCGGGCATGCTGGGCAATGTCATCTCTTCCTCCTCACTGAATGGGGTCCTCGACCTTGCTCAGACCCTTGCTATTTGCCAGGCACTGTCCTGGATGTGACAGGGGTGTCAGGGATGTGGGCTTCCACCCAGGCTGCTGTTTCTGGGGTGGCCAATTGTAAGTCCAGGCACTGCCTTGTTGAGTGGGGGACCCTCCCCAAGCCCACCCCTCTGCAGGAAGGGTCATCTGGCAACAGTCTGGGCAAGTTGCAGCCTCCCACCCAGCTTAGGGAGAGAGGAGGGTACAGGAGAATCGGGGAGTCAGTGGGTGGTTTACAAGACAGCACCTGAGTCATCTGTCACTGAAGAGGGGGGGCACCTGGTGGATGGTGGGTGTGACTCTGGTGAGGGTGGCTCAGATAGAAAGTTCAGGGATTGATGATCCAGTTGTGGAAGCTGAACCCAAGAGTCATTTAAAAATAAAAAGGTTACCCCATCCTGCCCACGCCCAATATTCAAGGGCCTTAGGTTGGTAGCCCTCTCTGTTACCTCCAGCTACTTCCAAGCATCACTCCTCTTACTGAGTCCCCTCCTAATGATCAACTTTTAAAATAGCGAAGCCAACTCCCTAGTGTGGCATCTGAGGCTCTCAGCCCCTCTCCTAGCTCCCTGACTTGCAGTCCAGTCACAGCCACACATTTGCCTTCCCGGCTGCTCTGTCTCTTCCGCAGCTCTGACCCATGGTCCTAGGAAACATCCCACTAGACTATGAGCTTCAGCATTCTCCAGGCAGGTCTTTTTGTCTGCTTTCTTCTCCAGTGCCTGGCACAGAGCAGGTGCTGAACACACAGTTGTTGAATGAGTGCAGTGAATTCCTTCGAAACCCTCAGCTTTCCCGACATAAAAGTCGGTGCTAATTGGATCTTATTTTCTTCAAAAGATTTTACAGCAGCTGAATGTTTTCACACATTTGTAAAGGGTACGAAGAGCACGTATGAAGATCTATCACTCTTTTCTTCTGTTTGCAAACACACTGCAGACAAGTGCAGGGTGTTCTAGCAGGGGCCGAGGCAGCAGGGGATTGTCCTCGAGGGTGAGGGAGGTAAGCTGTGCCTGATGGATGAAAAAGGACTTGCACAGGCAAACAAGACAGGGGGAGGCATCCAGGTGGGGACAGGCTCGGCAAGAAAGCGCAGACCCAGGGTGTCCACGGGGCTCTGAAGACAGTGTAAGAAGAGAGAACGGGAGGAATGGGTGGTGGTGGTGGTGGTGGGCTGGGGAGTCTGACTCACTGCATCGACTTTTGCAAACTGTAGAAGGTTCCAAGAAGTGTTTCAGAAAGCCAGATCCTGGCTGCTCTGTGTACAGGGAGCTGGAGGGGGAAAAGAAACTGTCGGTGGTGAGATGACTTGGGAGGTTCTTATCCTTTTAGATGGCCCAAGACAGGACACATGAAATGATTCAATGCAACCACATTTATTGAACACTTTTTCCATACAAAGCAAGAAAAAAATAGTACATGCCTGTCAGAAGATGTTACTGATTCTAGTTTTAAGCTGCCCCTGAATTGAAGAAATCCAAACTAAACAGAACATTAAGGAATTATTCCACTTCAAATGCCTGCCACTTTCCTTCCAGGAAAGGGCACTTTCCACTGCACTTTCCAGACTTCAGGCTGAGTGCGACAGGCAGCACTTTGTCCAGATACATTTTTATAACAGGTTAGTATACATTTGCAAACACATTGCAGACAATGTATTTGAACACAAGGGAAAACTCACCTCAATTAAGTTTTCTTTTAAAAATGAAAATGTAAAATAACTTACCAGATCTTTAATGCACTCCAAGAAGTAACTTATGTTTTTGGTGACTTGAGACTCCTTCCAAACTCGACTGGCTGTTCAGACTTAATTTAGGAGTTGAAGAAAAGACTAAAAACTTCTGGAAGAAATCAGAATAAAGTTCCCAGGACTTATTAGGCAGTTTTGGGGTACAGTTCACATTCTAGACATATTCCTGAATGACATCATGTGAGATGGCTTTGGGTGTATGAGCTGCGTGTTCATGAGTTCATTGCATGCTGGAGTTCACCTATACCAAATCCGATACCTGCTTAGACTCAACCCATTGCCATGATGCTCCCATTCCATCTCATCTTGCATGAGAAGGAAACTCTGACACCCCCCCACCCCCAAGGGCACTGTTTTTTTTAAATCTTTCTGGTGTTTTCATTCATTCATTCAAAGTAGACTTATTGAATATCAATTCTGAAGAGCTCCAGGCTGGGTCAGGCTTTGGGGATACAACACGCGCATTTGTGCGCTGTGTGCAAGGGTAGTGAGCAAATACTGCAGTAAAGCCCAGCAATCCAGTCACTGGGAGCTGAATCCTGAGGGTGAGTCATGTGCCAGGCTGGCTAATTCCTGACAAGGAAATCGTTCAGCAAGGGACCAAAGTACTAAAGGGAGTTGTCCATTCCAGAACCATCAGAAGCTTGAGTGACTGCTCGTTAGTTATATGGGCGTGCAATGTATGCTGAGCCACGGAGTTTGGACTTGACCTTGTGGGTAACTGCAAGCCAGAGGAAGTGCCTCAGTCAGGACTGGCGTGAAGGAAAAGTAGGGCTCATGCACACTTGAGAAGGGAATGCTGCTTCCTTCCTCATGGGAGGAAGTAGAGGAAGGCTCAGCTCCAACCACCTCCATCCTTGGCACCCCAGGAAAGCATCTAGCCTAGAAGGAAGACCCACCTCCCAGAACACTGCCTTCCCTCACCACACCTGTAGTGCCTGGACATCAGGGAGTGCCTTGGTCACACTCTGTAAATATTGTCAGACGTAGCCCTGGTCAGTGTGGCTCAATTGGTTGGAGTATTGTCCTGTACCCCAAAAGGTGGCAGGTTCAATCCCCAGTTGGGGCAAGTGCAGGAGGCAACCAATCTGTGTTTCTCTCTCATTGATGTTTCTCTCACGTTGTTTCTCTCTCTCCCTCTCTTTCTCTCTCCCCCCACCCCCCTCCCCAGGGTCTAAAATCAATTAAAAGGAAAAAAAATCTCAGACATGCCACCTGGGAGACTTGCACTCAGGGTTCCCCAAAGCATTGAAAAATGAACTAATTGCCATGAAAAATCACATTTCTCCAGAAACTCTTGAAAAATACATTAACTTATGGAAAAGTGGAAAAACCAGTACAAATTATACCCTTTGCCTATATTCAGATAATATATATATTTTTCTTCTGCACCATTTAAAGTTAGTTGCATACACTTAACACTAAATAAATACCTGTGTGTCTCTCTTAGGAACAAGGGACACAGGCCCCACTAGTCACAGTAACAACCTGATCATATCCATAAAAATTTTTCATTGAAACAATGCTATTACCTAATATACTCTCTGCACTGGAATTTCTTTAATTGTCCCAAAATGTCCTTCATGGCCTTTTCTCTTAAAATCAGAATCCAAATGAGAACCAGGCATTTGCCTGCTTGTCCCCTTGAACCCAGAACAGTCCCTGCCTTTGTCCCTCCTGACCTTGCCATGTCTCCCGGAAGGTCCCAGTCTGGACTCACCTTGTTGTTTCCTCATGATGAGATCCAGGGTGAATGTTTTTGGCAACAATACAGATTGTTTCTCATGACCCCGAATCAAAGGCCACAAACCTACGCAGCTCCCGTTACTGGCCAAGGCCGGTTACACGGTTCACGTGGGTAAACATACCCTGGTTTACACGGTGAGGATGCAAATCCCCTTCATAATTAATAGAATTAGAATCGGTTTCCTCTTTATAACGCATGCTTTGACACTCAGAGACTATGAGATGCTCTGTTTCCCAGCAGCCTTTCCCCCAGGGGCTGTTGTGTGCCATGGCCGTGTCTGCCCGAACCGAGCCCGGCTGCGGCCACCTCCGGCCGTCTGCGCGCGGCCCCTGGCGTCCCTGAGCACATGCACACCGCCCTGCCTCCGCGCTCCCCAGGCCTGGCTCCGTCTGTGGGGCTCAGCGCACAACTGCACACGCAGAACCCATTCTTCAGCAAAGACTTTCAAGGCGGCCACAGCCGCGCACCGGGCCAGACGCGGGGCCCCGCGGGACTGCGACGACTGCGCTCCCTGGAAGCTGCCCTGACCCCACGACGTACTTACGTGTGTGCATCTTTCAGTTCTGCCGCTGTGTCCCCCGCTGAGGCCAGCAAGCCCCATCAGGCCGGCTCCTGCCTTTTTCACGTTCCTATCCGTTTTTAGTACTTCTGTCCTTTCTGGAACGAGATGATCCCCAGGCTCAGTGTTTCCCCTTTGCCCCAACGCTAGAGTCAGCCATTTCTCCGGGAAACCCCTGTCCTGTGAGTCGGGGGAATGGGTGTTTTGAAACCCAGGCTTGCGTGGGAGGTACGCCCACTGCTCCCATGTCAGTTTCTGATCCTTTCAGGGAACAGGACTAAGATTTGTTTTCTTAAATCTCATGAGGTCACACCAATTCCTCCAATTCAAACCCCACGCTGCTGACTTCGTCTTCACATGCAGCCACCCCGCCTCTGTGTCTCCATCTCCACAGTGAGAACCCTGGGGTTACCAATCACCTTTCTAGGGGCACGAACTCGACCTTCCCTACAACACTCACCAGACAGCCTCCACCCCTGACAACAAACCTATTACCTAAAGTTCAAGATTTCTTTATTGTCTTTTTCTGTTCTTACCATGTATCCCACTGATATAGTCAAAATTTATTGGTTTTTGTGTGGTTTATCTGTCTGTAGTCAAAGTAAGGCTTTGCTGTGTTCATTTCTCCTACATTTCCATTTTTTGAACACATAAAACGTTTCTAATGGTCGAAACTGTGAAAAGGAAAGCTCACAGGAACCTCCTGTGCCTCCCACCCCTTTCCCACTCACTCACCCTGCCACAGGGAAGCATTTTTATTAGTTTTTGGTTTACCTTTCCTGGTTTTATTTTTGAAAACACCAGATCATATATATTCATGCACCTGACACAGAAGAGAGCATACTGCATGCAATCTTTTGCACTCTGCTTAAAAAGCACATTTTGTAATGTCATCTAAAGCACAGTGTTTCTACCTTCCGATATCAGTGGGATGAGAGAATGTTAATAAAAATGGACTGGGGGAACCATTTCTTAATGACGAAAAGCATTCCTTCAGCCATCGGTTTCTAGGGCTTCCCGAGAAAGTGAGGGGCTGACCTAGTTGCTCTTAGAGGTCCCTGGCCAATCCAGCAACCTGAAGTATTCTCCCAGGAGGGCACGGTGTCAGCCAGCAATAACCTCGTGTCTCGGGCACTGATTCCTATTTACTTCTGAACACCGGCAAAATTATTTTTTGTAGTTGCTGAAGTTTTCAAGGGCATATTGAAGACCTGGAGCCTGGGCCTGGGCCTGGGCCTGGGCCTGGGGGAGGGGAGGCTGCAGGAAGGCAAAGAGAAATCATTAACAGACCACATGGCTCCACATTCCTTGAAACAAAGTCAGCACATGAAAATGGAGATGTATAGAAAAGCAAGGCGAAGGGCAAATGTGTATTTAGATGGAGAAATCTTTTCTTTAGAAAACCTTCACTTCCAGGGTCCTTTAAGCAGGATGTTTCTCTAGTGCATTGAACATGATTCACTCTTCAAAACCCTGAGTCACATTTTTCCCGGAAACACCTTGTGTCAAACAACACCTCTATCTGTAGCGTCTAAATGAGGATCTTTTTAAAAAGTAGAAGGGTTTTGGTGGCTGAGCAGTGTGAGGAAAGGGTGGGGAAGAAAAAAAGAAAAGAACCAGATTTGTTAGTTTTTCTAAGGGACACGAGAAGGAAATTTAATTTTTTTCCCCTCACTACGTCTGGAAGGTTCCATATTTTCAGCTGGTTCAGAGTTACGGATGAAAAGTACTAAAACGGGACAATCTTACTTATATTACAATTCAAGTTAAAATGCTAGATTGGAAATAAGACCACTGATCCCTTCTCGATGATTTATAAAGCTTGAGGGGCATTCTAACCCAATTGAACAGAGTAAGGACAGGTTCCAATCAGGCCCGTCCCTGGCTCTCCTGAGATCTGCAAATTCGGCAGCACGTACATACACATCACCTATGAGAACCACAGAAGACATTCTGAAGTCTTTTTCCTAACACCCGGGAACACAGTGTCAAGTGCTATTTTTAAAACGTGACTTGCTACATTACGAACTCTGGCATCCTGTGAAACCTAGTGTGTATACCACGAGTTCCCCTCTTTTGTGTCTTTAAATGAGAGTCTACTTTCCATTTCCCAATACTCTTGGGGCCATAGAAAAGGGAGGACGGGAGGTGAGGGGGACAGTTGTCTGTCAGGACCAGAGCTCTCCGGGGTGGACTGCAGAAATTGGAGGGGATAGAGCGACGGGGATGGCAGCCAGCCGGGAGATTTACCAAGTCAGGGGTCATGATATGCTGGGGTACCCGCACCGTGGCTGGGGACTTCCACAGCCCTTGCTGTGCAAAACACATGATGTATGCCTGCGCGAGGCACGATGTAAGAGCTGAAGTTCTGTGTACATTTAATTATTAGCATGAACTGAAGGTACTGTCATTGTTTAACTCGGCCGACCTTTTAAATGGATAACCAACCTTGAGGCTTAATTGGATTTAAAAAAAATCAATTTCTAGCCATGGCACAGTGTGGGAACAAAGTGCTACGTTCGTGGGCAACTGTAAAATCACTTTTGCTCAGGACTATGTTTTTACTATTTACAATGTTAAAATGACACGATCCATCTTGGTAGGCGTTTTGTGCATAACATATACCTTTTTTAAACAACCACAAATGCCCACGTACGCACACCAAGTCACGTCACGAAGGAATCATTCCTTTCCGCTCAGTGGCAGGCTTAGTCATCAGCAGCAATCTCTTCGCACCAATTACACGAAAAACTGAGCTAGGGATAATGACATACCACTGTCTGCAAACCTCTCAGCCTCGGTCGTGTCTCATCTTTGTAATAGGGAAAAAAATCCTTGAGGAAGCTTTTACCAAATCACATCTTGACCATTAAATCTTTCTTGAAGAAGGTCATTTAATTTTATGCAAAGAAATGAACAATTAAAATGGCAAGAGCAGCACTGGTCTGGAAATGAGAGAGGGAGGATTCTAGTTCCCGCCGGGGTTACGCCGGCCGTGTGACCTTGGCAAGCCCGCTCGCGGGGCTCTGCTGCCTCGTCTGGAAAGGGGGATGCCTAGGGGGAGGTGTTCTCTTTATAACGGTTGATGAACATGGAGGCCTTTTACGGTGTCCTAAGTCAGAACACCACGTTAAAAAATATCTGATTCCTTTAGCTCTTCCTTCAAGAAAGAGACCAAATGATGCAAACCAGAGCCCTTTTGCCTCCATTATGACATGTTTTTACAAAACGAGAGAAATAGTGATTACTAATGGTGGAATTTGGATGATTAGCTAAAAGCAATTCTAGAATAATAGCTGACAAGCAGAAAACACTAAGCCCAGCAGTCTCTTCTAACTAAGCCTGGTCTAAATGTACACTGTGTTGAATGCAGTTTCCTTGAAATGGTCCATTTTACCCAGACGATGGGCTCAAGTGCTGGCCCACACAATTACCCTGAGCATTTAGGACAGTCCAGAGAGCTCGTGAGGACAACTGGACAAATGATTGTTTTCGTTTGCCTCCACTGGCCAGGTAACTGTTTACAAGTCTCTGCCTTCTGACTGTATAGCATGTTCCTAAGTTGTAAGAAGACTTCACTGTCGACTGGTACAATGATGTCACGGGTGCAGGGCACAGGGACCACGGCTACCACCACCAACCCCGAGTCCTAGATCTGAGCCTCTCTCTGACTAGCTGGAAGTCTTTCTGCATGACCACCAGAACCCTCACTGGTTTGCTCTAATTCCCATCATTTTGAAGGGGTTACTTGCCCTCAATTTCAAAACAAAACTAAACAAAAACATCAGGCAGCAAGGTAAGAGTTGGCACCTGGGTGGTCAAGGGAATTTGGAAAAAATTTAGTTTTTAAGGCCTAACGTGCAGAAATCTACCACTTGAGGCCCACATTTACATGTAGGCACAGTGCTAAGCCCCAAAATGTAGCCAACATCAAATGAAACACATTTGTCTAACCAAGTTTTAGAAGAGATGGAAACTTGATAATTCGTAACGAATTAGCAGCACCGAACCACTGTCCGGTATTTCCTGCATGAACTAATAACCGTCTCCTCCATGAAGCCATGTGAACCAAGTCTCTCTGTGTGGCTCCCACACTTTGACTAGAGTAAGGGACCTGATGATTGAAATGAAGCCAGCATGTAGAATAACATGCCATGCTTTCAAATGTAGAGACAGACCATGCTAGGCCAGGTGACTGGTTCAGTGGGGGGGGGGTGGCAGCTACAACAGACAGACGAGGTAGAGTTCTAGGTTACTCCAACTTTGGGTTATGACCAGAGTTCTTAAAGGGTGTTCCCTAGTCAGCAGGATAAACCTATACCCAGTCTGTTCTACAGTCGCCTGGGCATTCCGGAGGAACTATCCAAAGACCCCCACTTCCCGTCACACCTGAAAGTCAAGCCTCAAGTCTCCAGCTCTCTGCTCAACAGGCAATGTGTGTGGTTGCCCCTGCACACACTTATAACACTATTTCAAGAGGGGGCCACCATAAACTCAGTTGGGAAAAGCCTGGGAGTTTACCTGCAAGAAATACACACAACCTGCAGAGCTGACCTGAACAGGATGGAGATCTTCAATGCTATGGCTAGTCTAGAATGTTCTTGAAGCCTATGGGGCATGCTTGTCCTTTGAGTGGATTTGATTTTTGTGAAAAGTTGGGGGGATGTAATATCTAGCTAAAAATGAGGGGAGGGCATAGTAAGAGGAGGTGTTTCCGTGCTATGGCCCCTCAACCTCAACAGGCTCAGCAGGTGAGAACAGCCACAAGACCAGCAGCCATGTGGGGTACAGCACCCAGCTCACCAAGGTGACCACTCGGAATGACAGTTCCTGCTTTTGTACACTTGGGCTCTGGTGTTTAACCAAAGAGACAGGCGCCTCGATAACATGTCGGGCACAGGCGGGTAAAAGCAGTGCTTCGCTGACAAAGAACCATCCTGGCCTTGGAGGAGGGGACACAGACATTTGAGGGGAAATACAGTCCTAGCTTTGAGTTCAACTGGAGAACACTATCCCTGAGGTTTTCAGTATAACAGGATAGGAAATGGTCAAAGTCATTAGAAGTTTAAGTCTCCTGGAGCCTGTATGTAAGAATTACTTCTCAACAAGTACACAAAGTTTTATTTGAAGATCTGCAAATGGTTCTTGGTATGTATGTAAAGCATAGATTTTCATAAGAAAATTAACTATCTGCCTTTTTGTCTACTGGACAGCAAAGACATTGGTCCCTTTGGAAGTGTCCACTAGATAGATGGACCTTCAGACATTGAGGCAAAGGCCTCAGGTACAAAACAGTGGTCAGCCCAAATAATCCTTCTCATCCGCTAAATGCATTTGAAGAAAACATGAACCCTGTTGTTAAAATACTAGGATTGCAGGATGTTGTTTAATCTTCACGATTGCTTTATTATACAAAAAGTTTCCAATAACAGTAAATTAGTTTTTAAACAGGACAAAAAAAGGCATGTTGGATAGAAGCACTTCACTAATTGCTTTATTTAAGCACACAAGAAAAAAAGTCTTATCTGACCAATTAGGTTGGGAGGGTTTCATTACCTTTAGGAAGCCATTAGCCAGGATACAACACTGAAAGCACTGTGTCAAAACAAATAAATAAAGCTCTCTCAATTAGTAGGAGACGCCAATCCATTAGACATACACGGCTTTGCGCCCGTGGCAAAGCCACCCCCCATCCCCAAATTAATAAAACCAGAGAGAGTAGATTTCAGCCACAATCTAGAGGAAGATCAGGAGCTCTGGAGACCTGACAGTGAACATTCCCATTAATCCTCGCACCCAGGCCAACAGAGCCACAGGGAGCACGTAGAGGGGCAGGTGTCCCTGCTGGCCCTTGTCTCATGGTGAGACCAAGGGCCCTGCCTTCCCACAGAGAAAGGAGCTGAGTCCTTGGGTGGCCGGGGAGGGGAGGAGAATGACCCTGAGGCTACAGGGCACTAAGGGTCATTGACTAAGCTTCTCTCACTGCCCCAGTGCTGCTGATCTTCCCCCAGGAAAGGCTCAACAGAAAAATACAGTATTCTGAGGAGCCCAGCAAGTTGGCACAGACTCTGGGGCAGAGGTGGCTTTAGCTGGCAGTGTCCTGCTTTCAGTCAGAATGGACGGCCCCCCCATCCCAGTGAGATCCTTAACTCCAATTCTAATCAGATTCATGATTTCACCCAAATGGGTTGAGAGACAAAAACCAATCCCAATCATCCTATTCACTGAAAATAAATATAAATAAACAGCGATCCTTTCTGAAAGGATTGTTAAGACAGCTTTAAAAGCTTTAATGGTGATCCAGTATTCCCATAAAGAGACCCTCGGGGAGGGAAGCCCCTGGGCTGAACAGCCCTACTCCTAGGAGTGGCGGGTCTGTTGCGGCAGGGCACTGCAGCTGGGGTATGGCTGTCTGGAATGAGAAAGGCTGCCTACAGCTACTCATAACCTCTGTAGAAGCCCATTTCAGGGAGGATCAGAGGGCTGAACTCTCGCTCTCTGGCCATCTTTCCTAATAAAGACTTGTTGGTCAGGGAACATGCTGTTTCCTGGAGGGCCAGGGAGACCTGCAGGTTATTCTACGGCACAGCTGTAATAAAACTGGTGGCTCCCTGGCGCAATCAACAACCTGGAAAGAAAATACTGGGGCGACTTGAATCTCTGGACTTGGGTTTAAATTTCTAGCAACAACTGCAAAGTCAAATTCTACAGAAGCATTTTATGTGACTGGTCCAAATAAAATGTAGCACATCAGAGGTAAAAACAATGGAAAAGCCATCAAAAATTATACAAAGACCATTAACACTATACTTGTGTCTCAAGAGCAACTGAAACATAAACACTTCTGTTTGCAAAGCCATCATCACTTTCCACATGACTACAGTTCAGGGATGTATTTGAGCACCATATTGACAACAGGGAAGGACACGACAAAGCCTGGCTTTGGCGATCTGATTTGCACTCATGCAAACGAAGGACTGACTGGTCCTGATTTTCACCACCTGCAGGAACATGCCTATTTTCTGGGCATGTTAAGTAGCAACGTGAGAGCCAATAAATCACACCTCTGGTGGAATATTTTACTTTGAAATGGAGTGATGTTTGGTTAATAATTTGAGACCCAAATGGGGTGACCCATTTAGAATGGCCTCTGTGTAAATTCACAGTTCATTAAATGGTGGCTGGTTTGAACAGGTCATTATGTAGTTAGTATATGAGCAATGGATTGAGCGAGGATGGCTGGGGACGCGCACAGGGACACACTGGCCAATGCCGGTGACTTTCACAACACTGCCAAGCTTCCTTTTAATGTGAGGTTAGTTCAAATCACCAACTTTTAAATTTAGGTGGTTTTGCTCAGCAACTCCTTTTGGTTTACAGTAGAAAATGTAGTGTACAAATTTTAGATGAGGAATACTCCATTTACTATTAATTTAAACTTATGAGGCTGTTTTAACTGGCCCATCTAAATGTGTTAATTAACATCAATGATGGTTTCTTATTTTTCACACTTTGTTACTCTGATCATTAACAGTGATGGAAAAGCGAAATTAAGGTAATGGAGAACGGATTATAAATTCTTAAAGGACTTCTCAGTTTGTTTTCAACTGCAAAATATCGAGAGAAAGATGAAGAGGCATTTTTGCCTCTATCCATAAATTTTTGGTACCAAATCCTTAAAAACCAGATGGTTTTCAAAATTTTCCCCCCAAAAATGATTTTAACACGCTGCTCAGACATGATTGCTAAGAAAAATAGCTTATTCACAATAATATCGAACAGCTTGTGGAGTGCTGTAAACGTTCCACTCATTTTCTCTTTCTAAAATATATTATAACTGATGACAGAACTCCATCTCTAGTCTGCAGCAGTACCAAGGTCTTTAAATTCTCAACAATGAAGGAAAAACAGAAGCCCGCTCCCCTCATTTCGGCACCGTACGGAGGAGTCCACGAGACGCTGGGGCCCACGCGAAGCCCGGCCCCTCCACAGGCAGCCGGCGGCCCAGCCCCTCGCCCCGGATCCATGAGGCACACACAGACCCCAGGCCGCTTAGCGAGACTTCACGCCGACGAGGACAACAATGAGGACAATAATGATGACAAATAATATTAAAATCACAAGCATCTTCCGATTCTTCTTTTGATACTGCTCTGCCTACAGAAAGAGGAGGGAAAAAAGTCCGTCATTTTCCCCAAAATCCAAAATCAAGCCTTATTCTTTTCCAGTCCTAGGCTTCTGGTTTCTTCTGCAGAGCTGACAGGCTCCCTCCTCTCTCAGCTACAGGCTCCCTTATTACAACCCCTCCATCAATTCACAGGAATTCAGCCAGCACGTGTGGAAGGGCCCCTGACCGGAAGCTAGTCTCCCACTAGTCTCCCAGGAGGCACTAATGTGGTGTGGAATCTGCCACCAAGACATAGGGTGAAGGCAAGGGTGAAGGCAAAGCTTGGCCTTCAGCCCAGACAAGCCCACTCCCCCTTGCCTCTACTTCCACTACCCTGAAGACCCACCCCCTCCGGGAAAGCCCCCAGGTGTGGACCCAGCTCTTCGGCTGCACACACCTTCACTATGAAATCACATTGCTGGCTAACGGAACCACAGCAGTGATGTGGGGCCGGTGGCCCCAAACAGCTTGATTCCGACCTCCCTTGAATATAGCAACAGGAAAACTCAACCTTTGAAATAAAACTGAGAAAGTGCTCTCCACGGGGGTCAAGTGCAGAAAGAACCCCCACCCCCAAGATAAGTCCTGTGCTCTTGATGACACAGCAGAAGGGTGCTTCCAGGCTCAACACCCCCAGGCTTCATCTGCGTTCACCAGCCTAGACTGTCCTGAGTAACGCCATATGGAGCCTATGGTGCAGAAATGAGACCAGAGAAGGGGCAGTGGCGTAGAGAGATGTGAGGGTCTCTAACCACATCTCGAAGGGCAGCCCCGCCCCTTTCCCCAGCCACTATTTTGCTATTTCACAGTGAAGGACAGGGAGACTGCCTGATAAACGTCCCTGTCCCCCTTCCACGTCCCCACCCACCTGACTGTAGTTCTGCTTGCTAAGTGGGCCGCCCTCCTCCCAGGACCACTCATCAGCCAGGAGGAAACATCAGGACAGACAGGTCTTGAGAGTCCAGGGTGTGAAGCAACTCCCCAGGCTCAACCATCCTTAGATGAGCTGCTGCCAAGGAGACGGCCAGCCCTGCTCCCCAACAGCAATGTGACGTGAGAGATAAGGCGAGCATGTTTACTTTTCCAATAAGTAACCCAGAACACCAGGGAAGCCAACACTAAACGATATACCTTAAGACCTCTCAGAATGATTTATAAAGGAGAACCTGAAACAAAATTTTTAGTTCCCACTAGATTTGTACACTCCCGCAGACAAGCTTTTCCTTTCATCTGTGTAATATTACAAAATATGTTTCACTAGATTTTAAGAAACTTCACAATCAATGCATAATCCCACAGCAGATCAAAACCTGAGTATTAGAGTGAGAAACATTCTTTTAATATACAAGGCTGGCCACCAAATGAATCTAAATGCTTAAAAAGTACTCTGCATACACAGGCAAGCCTTTCCTCCCTTGTTACAGGTGGGAGTCACATGTGACAAGCACATCAAGAGCAGACCTGTGCATGGCCTCACCTGTGCACCAGATGCTACTGTAATAGGGGCCCTCTCTGCTAGAGAAAGGGACTGGTTTTGGAAAAATGATGGGACAGTGCAGTAATGAATTGGAAAAATGCTCAGGATGTGGCAGAAATACCACTGGGTCTCAAAAATACAAGTAGGTGGACAGAACTTATTTTATTTGTGAAGTATTGTATTCCTTTTAGAGAAAACATGTACCCAGTTATACACAAGAGCCACTCGGCAGTGTATGGATGTTTCTCACAAACGATCACCAGAGTTCTAAGATGCTTTCCTTTTATTTTTAACAAATATCATGAAAAATATTCCTGGAATAGCCACCTTATTAGCAAAGAATAGGAGAGCTAATAATGCTCTCACTTCAACAAACTACTCTTTTGTCAAGGTAAGTACACAGATGTGCCGTGGTGATTAAAAGGGAAAATTAGATTTCTATCTTCTCCGGGGTGACTCTCTACCAGCAATTCACCAGAAGCGTGTCACGGCATGAGGCTGCGTCAGCAACAAGCGAGAGGGACGATCAACCATACCTTACTTAGCAAATGCAAATTCAACTGCTTTTCTAAAACAGGAAGACTCAAAGAATGAACTGTTTCCTAAAAGGAAGAAAACAATTTCCAGTCCGAGTGCAAGATGCCCCAGAGACACCAACTACAGCAAAGGGACAGCAGCCCACATGGTCATTCTGGACAAATGATGTCCACTTCTGCCCTAGTGTACTGAGTGACAATGGGCAAGAGTGCAGGAGACGGTTGTGACGGAAGACATTCCTTGATGAATTTTTGATACTTGACAACAGTTCCTCAAATTCTCAGCTATTGAAAGATAAAGTATTACCTTGTGAAGCTGTTTCAAGCCGTCCTCAGTTTTGATACAGGACTGTTCAACATTATAGTCAATTCTATCAAGGACCGTGCCCTGGTAATAAATGACAGTGACAGACAATCAACAACCCCACGTGGGGAAAGTGGACTCAAACCAACATGCAGATCTCAGGCGTCGCCACGCATGGGAGTATCTGTCTGGCTCAGCTGCACTTGCACAGGGCATGCTGGAAGCCCTGGACCACCACCCAGCAGCGTCAGGCCCTCAGTGGCAGAGTGCGGTGTAGTTAGAATGAAGTCTCGTTAACGAGGAAGAAATACTGATGAACTGAGGTTTTGGATTTCGCCACGATAGGATGTGTCATATTCAGACTTACTGGTGCTTTAAAAAATATATTCAGCCCTGGCCGGTTTGGCTCAGTGGTTAGCGCATCAGTTTCGGACTGAAGGGTCCCGGGTTTGATTCCGGCCAAAGGCATGTACCTTGGTGGCAGGCTCGATCCCTGACTCCAGCTGGGGTGCGAGGAGGCAACCAATGGATGAGTCTCACATCAATGTTTCTCTCTCTTTCTCTCCCTTCCACTCTCTCTGAAAAGCAATGGAAAAAAAATATCCTCAGGTGATTAAAAAAATTAAAAAAAAAATACAGTTCAGTGGAAATAGGCTCTGAGCGGCGAAGGGCAAACTTCTGTGCCACCTGCTGCTTAAATACTTGGATTCAAGGAAGCAGAGAGTGCAGCTTAGCCAGCCCGGTTATGATTAGGCCTGGAAATTGACTATCAAGTCTACAGACGTCAGCACAGGTCTCCATGGCTCAGAGCAACAACAGTGAGCTCCAATCCACCATGTAAAATTTCACATCTGCCTCAAGGAGAATTTTGTTCTTAATTGTTTAATCTCTTGGTTCAAACAGAGAGCAGGGAACACTGGGCTGTATGGGAGAACAGGGCTCTTAACGGAAACACGTTGCATTAGAAGAGATAGCAAGAGCAGTTCCCTGGGAACCACGGGAGTAATTAATGTAACGAGATCTTCCATAGCCTCGACACTCCATTCTCAGCTGGTTTCAGGGGGATCAGGACCCAAATCCCTACTGGCAAGATAATAAAATATCCTAATCAGATTGTAACACTGAACAAACAATTTAATTCCACTTGAAAGCTAGTGGTTCTAGTTGCCATTACACAATAACCTGCCAAAATTAGAAGGGAAACCTTATCTATTGCCAGATTCACTGCTGAGCATGGGCAGAACCGGCCAGGCTCCCCAGGTGGGGCACTCTCACAAGCATCCCTGGGGCAGAGAACACAAGAACTTCTATTGACATTTACTTATTTTAAAAAAAGTTTGTTTTAAAATAAAGTATGGAAGTAGTATATGTATATAATTTGCACACACATACATACATGTATGTATATGTGTGCCCACTCACACACATATACATGCACTGGTAGAATAGGTTCAAATTCTTTTTCCTGATAGGAGTACAGAGTCAAATAAGTTTGGAGAAGGATCAGATTTTATGGCAGGAAAACCCATTGATGAGGAAGGTAAACTCACCTACCTGCTCTACAATCATTGCTCCTAAGTCCCTAAATATCTCATTTAGGTCAGAAATCGACTGCACAATCTGGCGGATCTCCCGCTCCCTCTCTTCCACCATCAGCGTGTTCTGCTCCAGCAGCACCAGCTGGTCATCCGTGAAACCCTAGCAGAAAAGAGCACAGAATCTGCATGTTAAATTGTCCCCTCAAGAAAGCTATGGCGTACCATTTTAGACATACTTTAAAGAAAATGACTTCTGAAAACACTTCTATAAACCATATGAACATAAATGCTTATTTTTCCCTAACAGGAAAGACCCAAATTCCCATAGCAGGTGGGACCTAAAGCAGGACTGGTCAAAGCAGGGCACGTGAAGAGAACCTCCTGCTTGCAGCCACACAAGGGCTGGCTAGCAGAACCAGCAGGGAGAAGCCTGCGCATCTTTCCCCAAGGTTCTACAAGGGAATTACAAGGTCTCCCTGTAGTCACTGGAAAGGAAGAAACAGTGTGGCCCATGACTCTCCTTCAGCTGGCTGTAAAATCTACTTGACGGGCCTATGAGTCATGCAGCACAGGCCCGTCTGCCCTGTTCAACAGGTCTATGAACAGAAGAAAACAGAATGCAGACCCTTCACATACCCGATCATAGAGAGTATCGTCGTCTCCATCATCCATCAGTGGCACTGATGTATCAAAAAAATGCTGGGATCTTTCCTCTCGGTTCTTCATGCCTATCACAGATAGAAATTCACTTTACTTGAATATGTAAACCATCCTGGTTCTGCTCCACCATTAGAAAGGGGAAATCTGAATTAAAACTCAACAGTCAAAATGGAGATATTCTCAGCTTTAGAAGGGGGAGAGACAGTAAAAGATTATAAACACACAAATGCGAGCATTTGGGGTTAGTCAAGACCAAATGACACTGTAAATGTGTATAATTCACTTCATGCCAAGTGAATGACAAAAGGACACAACCATCTGAGAATCTCTAAATGAAGTAGAAATATTTAATCCAACTGCTGCTACAAAACATTAAAATAAAATCAATATTTTTCTCTAGAAGCATCTCTAGTACAAATTCCAAATGGCCCTAAATCAAATTTTAGAAGTAACAAAATTAAAATAACAAATATGCAGTTGTAGAGGGAGGGAGGACCAGGCTTCTAGAGTATGTGGGGATGTTATTGACGCCAATGGAGGTAAATAAACAACAGTTTGTAGGAAAACCTGACCACCTATTTGGAATCACAAGCCCCAGCCTAGAGCAGTGTTGAAGCTCCTCCCAGAAAGGTTCTTGGGTCTCTCAAAGACTCGGGTTGCTATGGAAATATGGAGCTTTAATGTGATTAAGACTGGTTTTGCCTATAAATTACCAGATCCCCATTCCAACACCTAGAAAGCTACAGGTTTTTCACATGTGCTGGGTTGAGTTTCAAGTTCTTTAAGCTTGATACCCAGTGAGTTTTGTTTTCTTATATATGAACTAGTGACAGCACCTGGGCCTCCAGGGGGCTCGTGTCACACGGGGGCAGCCCAGGGAAAGGTTCAGGACCAAGTGGACCACCAGTAGCCCGCAAAGAAGACAGAAACAAAGTGGCCGGGGGTCCCTCTGAGGCCTCTGCACTCACGTTTCAGGTAGCCGGCCTGCCCGTGCCGGAAGCCAGTGGACAGCTCCTGCAGGGCCTGCGCCAGCGAGGCCACCACGTTGCGGAGCAGCCGCTCCTCCTGCTCCGAGCAGGTCCTGCGGGCCCGGCTGGGCAGAGCCTGCACAGCACGCTGGCACCTGTGGAAGAGCTGAAACGATCCACGAGGCCCAGTGCGACTTAAAACTCGGCTCAGACTAGCACGGCCAGGGGTGAGCAGACACAATTCACATGCAGGACACTGAACCGGTGCCGTGGCGCACGGGCTGCGCTGAGCTGACACTCTGCCCCCCACTACTCTTGGTCCTTCTCATTCAGCCCCACTGGCCCCCTAAGAGGCCCGTTATTTATTATACCCTTTGCAGACAAGATGATTAAAGGAGAGCCAGGCCACTGCCCCACTGCCGAGCCAGGATCCAAATAGGGTGGCACCCAGTTTCTCCTCAGTACCCCTCCTCTCATCATGGGCACCCAGGAGAGTTAAACAAACAAAAAATGTAAACACTAAAGTTTAAACACTTTGAGTAATTTTAAAGTACTTAAAATTACTCAAATTTAACATTTTACAAGAGGTTTTTTCCTAGGACACTAATATACTAGGTCTAGGGCAGAAACTCCCAACCTCCAATTATGAGAACCATGTTTAACACAAAAACTGTGTCAATACTAGTAATACAATAGAAGTTTTACATATTTTTAAATCAAATGACTGAACTCAGCAATGCTCTGGGTTTAATTTTAAAATCAACCCACAGTAGTATCTTACCAACAACCGAAAAAATAGGCCCCATTTCTCCAGTCATGGTGCTTGGACTTGGACACCTGTAGGAGCTCAGGATCTCCTATAGTCCCTTCCTAAACCCCAGGCTGGGAAGTGGAACTATAGGGCAGGCTCGGGTGGGACTTAAGAGTTGTACCAGCTATGGCTTTCAAGATGGTCCTGAAGGCTGGGAATCCACTTCCACCCTCACCTGTGTGATCTCTTGGGTGGTTATCTCAATAGCGTGCTCTTGCTCACTGCTGTCATCCAGGGTGGGTCTGTTCAAATGCTGGTCATGTAGGCTGGCTAATTCCTTCATCTTCTGTTTAATCCGGCCAACATCGTACTGGATCTAAACAAATGAATTCACCCGAACTCCACTAAGCCTGCAGGGTACCTGCCTAACTCCAAGACAATCAGTGACACTGAGTAGAGAGTTCTGTCTCCAGCCAATTTGTAGGCTGCCTGACACATAAGCAACTTCTCATTCAGAGATCCAGAAATTCAAATACCACTTCTCCAAGTTATACAGTTCTTCAGTTTCTTTCTATGGTTCAGATAGTTATTGCTAAGCCCAAATCACTCACTCACACTCACACACACACACACACACACACACACACACACCCCTTTCTTGTGGTTGTGCACACTGAATTAACCAAAAGCTAAAGTTTTCTCAGGACATGCATTCAAGTGTAGCCAAATCAGTTTTTATGGCAAATACCTTAAAATATGTTAATGTCATTCATAATTATGTAAATAAATAAGATAGTGTGAAACTAACATTCAACTTACTTCATCCACTCCATCCACCCATTTAGGAGGTAACCGTTTTGTCACGCCAATCGCTGCTTCTGGGTCTAAGCTAATGCCGGACACCAGAGCCATCCGGTCGTCGGCAAGCTACGGGGAAATAAAGGAATGTTACAAAACTATTCAGATTCAGCTTAGCTAAGCACATGCATACCCCTTTGTAAGTGTCTCCTCCTGAGAAAATACAGAAATGGAGTGAACACACCTGCCTGGCTAGGCACGTGCTTTTGAGATTGCTAAGATCGGAATTTTTTTCCTATCTCTTCATGCACCAGTTCTTAATTTTCCTGAGCATGAATTTGACTTGATCTGCCTATGGAAATGTAATTAAAAAAAAAATCAACAAAAGCTCCTTAAAAGAAAGACCTCTTAGTACTCAACAATTAATGTGATCAGATACAAGTTAAATAAATACTGGGATATAAGTTATAGCATAAGGAATATAGTCAATAACATTCAAATAACTATGTATGGTGCCAGGTCGGTACTGGAAATATCAGGGGGAGCACTTTGTAAAGTAAATGATCGTCTAATCACTAATGCTGTATACCTGAAACTAATACAAAATAGTATTAAATGTAATTGAAAAAAAATACTAGCCAGTAAATAGAACCAATGTGCAAAGCTCAATAGCAGCAACATTTACTTCCATACATTCAAGCTTATTTTGGAAACAGACCTGATCCAGTTAACTTGCCACAAGATCATTAACCATGTGTTCAAATGTGTGAAAGAAATGCTTAAATGGTTAGCAAATTATCTACCATTTGGCAAACACAATCCTTACAATCTCAATGCAGTCTTACACTGTCATTTCCTTTCTTCAGTAAAATGTCCACAGGCAACGTTTTCACTTATTTTGAAATGATATCGATGGTCCTTACTTATTTTACCTACATAGCACACTGCCTTGGAGAGCTCTGAAGAATGGGAGGGAGACCACGGGTTTGGGGCTTGGTTAGCCTGTTCTCTCGCCTGGAGGCAGTGAACAGGAAGAAAAGCTCTTGAAGGGCCCTCAGGGGCTCAGGATTTATAAATGCCCATTTCAAAAGACCCAAATGATGATCAGAAAATAATGGCAAACAGCATAGAAAAGTCCTTGGTAGGTAAACACTCGGTATGTTTTCTAAATCACACTGGAAAATTGGGGGAAGAATTTGTATTGCCTTTCTTCCCCCTTCCCTGCATTTATCTAAATTTACTTTTTCATTCATTCAGCAAATACCTGTTTGCTTTTCTAACAATAAAGGAACAAGACAAAAATTTTCAATCCACAGATGAAGGGGAAAAAATATCACATAAGAAAAAACTGAGATCAAAAGAATTCTTCAAGTAATGAGCCCTGAATTCTGAACAGGGAGTTGACAGCAAAATTCCTAAAGCAATCGGGGGTCTTGCCCCTGCTCCCCATGCAGTCCCGGTGCAGTTCTGCCCCCATTACTTAGAGCATTCTGTGGGTTCAGGGAGTGTGTACAACACACTGAAGGGACCATGCCCATCACTGCCCCCGGAGATCTGAGTTGTGATTAAGTCACCTGTGTTCCCACCACGTGGACCTTGCAGGCCCCACGCCATTCCAGGTCTTAAAAATGGTGTGCCAGCCACCTGCACCGCCTGGGGCTCTGGGTCCGGGAGGTGGTCCTTCTCATCCCACCACCTGGTTTGTCTTCAGGAGTTCAGGACTAGGAATTTTACATTCCTTTTATGATTTTAATCCTCACAAAACTAGGTGAGCTAGGGACCTATAATTCCAACCTGTAAGTGAGGAAATTGAAACTCAGAAAAGTTAAGTACCTTGCCCAAGGCCACAAAGATCTTAGTGACAGATTAAAACCTGGTTGGCTGACTCCAGGAGCCCCATCCACTCCACCAGCTGCCAATCACTTTGACAGGCCCATGAAATATAATTGCAATCTGCTAAGAAAACGAATCAGGACAACAAACCCTCAGATTAAAACTACAATACAAAAGAGGCCTCCAATCCATATCAGTCCCCCACCAACTGCACCAGGAACCACAGGATAGGGCCCCCATCAGCACCTGTCAACAGAAGCAGCCTCTCTCTGACCAGCTGTGGATGCAGGGACGGTACAGACCTCATCCCATTCTGGGAAAGCAGTGACAGGCAGAGCTGTTTATTCCTCATGTCCTGCTGCAAAGTCACTAAGCGGTACGACTCTGTGGAGGGTACACTAACCAAGGCACAAGGGGCAAACCACACGTCCAGCTCCCAGTGTCCGATACAGCCCATGCTGGACAGAGTTGTTGCCTGACTGGAGCAGGACCTGACCTTAAACTCCAGCTGTTTACACAGAGCAAAACCTGAAATTACTAAGATCATGGGTCATAGTATTGCCTGTGTAGGCAGTTTATTATCTAACCCATGATTATATTTCATTATTGCACCACGTTTCAATAGAGTAATAATAATTCGTTGTATTTATAGTTTTTAAACTCAGGGTGTTATTTGTACTGTTTTTATTGTTTACAGTTACACATTAAACTTAAAAAGATATAGAGATGTTATTTACCTAAATCATCTGAATAGTAATTAGTATCAATTTATCTGAAACAAATGAGAAATTTTAAATAATGTATGAAAAGTCGGTTGAAGTGAATTCAAGTTTTTAAAACAGTACTTGATTTTACACAATAAATGTGTCTCCCCCAACCACCACCAAAAAAAAAAAAAAGAATGTAAATCAAAACTGTGAAGTGTGCACTGTTGAGTGTCCTGTCCCCACATGAAGGGGACAGATGCCAGCCCACCTAGCTCGCCCTGGTCTGCCCACACACTACATGAGGACTTTGCTAGGAAGACAAGCTGACTCTGGGACCACAAACTAAATAGTTTGTCCCCTTTACGATCAAATCTACAGCAAGAGCCCGCTGTGATGAAGACACGCAGCCCAGCTCAGAAGAAACGCCATGCATCTTATTGGTGTGGGTTTGTGATCTGTATCAAAGTTTGTGCTATTTCTTTTTTAAAAAAAGAGTATGTTTTGGGAAGGGAAAACACAATAGAAGATAAATGTCAATTATTTAAAATGGGAACAAATACTAACAACATAAGAACATATTTTAAGTGCAAAACCACCCTTTCAACTTCAGAAATCTCACTTCCCATTTATTAATTTACTATTTATTTTTTAATCCTCACCAAGGATATTTTTTCCACTTTTTTTCAGAGAGAGTAGAAGGGAGAAAGAAAGAAAGAGAAACATCGATGTGAGAGAGCCACATTGATTGGCTGCCTCCCACACTTGCCTGACAGGCCGGGGATCAAGCCTGCAACTGAGGTTCGTGCCCTTGGCCGAAGTCGAACCCAGAGTCCGGAACCCTTCAGTCCACGGGCCACTGCTCTAACCACTCAGCCAAACTGGCCAGGGCTCACTTCCCATTTAAAAACCTGTTTTCTTATCTTTTTGGGATCCACGTCATATCAGTTTTCAAATTGCCATCTTAGCGGATACAGACCTTAAAAAAACTGCCAGATTTTTAATTCTCTTTACTTATCCTTGCTGAAAGTCACTTAATCTCCTCCAGATATATGATGTTGGTGATTAAAGCTTTTCTTAAATGAACTTGTGCTTCTAAAGTAAAAAAATAAATAAAGTTTTTTAATCTTTCCATATTTGTTAAATAAGAACTTTTTAAATAAAAAATTGTACTTATGAGAATTAAGAATTTAAGAACTCCCGTGTCTTCCTTTGTAGCTCTGTCCTCTGAGAACTCTGGGGGTGATTACCCGAGCGCAGTCATCTAACTCAACCTCACCAATGCAGGAAAATTCCAACAGATGCTCAAAACAGCACACCCAAAGGCTTCTTGCTAGTTTCACTAAAGTTATCTTTTGCCCTTGGTCCACTTTAAATGTTGACACCTGTGCTCCTGAAGAGTACCAGACAGTGTGGACAAGTTCTTGATCTATGGAAGGTGTACACGTGTGTGCATGTGCGCGCACACACATGCGTGCACACACATACACACACCATGAATCTTGCTGATCCAAACATACAGCTTTCCTACAGATAAAACCCTGCCTTCCCAGGAAGGCTGAGTTAGGGAGCTGTAAGACTAAGGAAATGGTGAAGCCTCTGTTGAGATTAAGAAAATCAGACACACGCCCCCCAATCTGAAAAAATGAACTAATAAACTCAGCCATTATGCATGCTGGTCAGCAGCACCACTGACAATTCTGGAAGTCTGTGGCAATGAACATTTAAAAAGTCCAGATAGGACATTGAAAACTACAGCCTGGCGACTCTCACACCCATCTGAGATAATCCTGGAGCCTGCATGATGAAATCAGAGCACAAGCATCACTCACAGGCTCGGAGGCTCGCGGCCTGGCTGACAGACTATCAGGCTTAAGAAACCTCACTTCTTTGAGGGAGTGAATAAGCACGTGGGTGAAAGAGAATCGGGATGTCAGCACTGCAGGTTTTTAAAAAATCTGTGATACTCTTAATAGTGTTTTACTTTTTTGATTGTGGAACAAATGTTGAAAATAGACTTTTTTTAACAGGCAAAACTATAGAAACCTGAGAATCAGAGCCTGCAGATATAAATGCTGGTAGTTTAATGGAGTTTCCTGTTTTCTCAGTGATTACACACACCCTTAAAAACCGTGAGGTGGGGCAGGAATAACCTGTGTTCTGTGGGTGCTGCACCTTCACTGACTTGATCTTGTTAGTCCCACTGACACACCTGCAGAGGGGAACCAGAGGCTGGCTCCGTTTTATAAACATGGACACTGAGGCCCAGCTGAGTTCAGAGACCACCCTCAGCAGGGTGTCGAGTGAGCCCAGCCTGCGGCCCTCAAGTCCCCACTATTTTACCCTGCTCACCCAGACTATGTGGTTTGGGAGCTTGACATTTCTTGTAATTTTTTAAATATTCCTATTCAGAATTTTAAAAAACCCACAACCAGAGAGACAACTAGCATAGGAGGAACAAGATTAGACCAGAGATTAAGGAGGGGAAGATGTGTCTCTGAGAAGAGATGGAGTCATGGCCAGGCCTCCTCCTTGGAGACCCCTCACTTCAAATTCTGAAGAATGAAGGCTGGTATCCCTGAGATGCAGGCT